GTTAGCAAGTCTTAATGTGGCGACAAGTGCACAACAACAGTAGCAACAATAACAAAAACAAAATAAATACACGCAAAATGGCATAAAAAAAATCAGTTATCAAGCGTGGAAACTGCAGCTCGATTTTTTGTTCTTTTGTGTTTTTTTCTGTTTTTTTTTTTTGGTTTTTTTTGTCGCACAATCCGTCACGCATGCGCAATGTGCTGCTTATGTGAAAAGATTTGCAACGCTCTCACGCTTTCTCTCTTTGCGCGCGTAAAATACTCTCTGTTGTTGTGTTTTGCTATCTTCATAATCTTATGCAAAGAAAAATTTATATTCCTATATATGTATGTATGTATGTATGTATGTTCGTTTGTAAGCCAGTGGCTGCATGCACTTGTCGTAGTAGTTAAGTAGCGTGAAACGCGCAGACGTCATGGCATCAAAACATGGATTAAAATCATATAAATAGGAAGAGTAGTTTTGTCTTTGTTTACCATCGCCGATGGAGCTGCAACCAAGGATGCCAACTGCAATGGGGCTGAAAATTCGAAATTCCTGAAAAAATTTCCCTATTCTCGATGAAATTCCCCCAAAATGAATTTTGCTACATATTTAAGGCACATCATGCTAATTTTTTTTTATTAAAAAAAGGAAGCAAATATCGTTATCAGTCTTTTTGACATTTCATGTTGATAAAATAAAAGGCTAATACGATGGCTTGGAGGGGAAAACGAAACGAGAAAAGAGAGAGTCAAATGCAAACGTGAAAAAAAGTTAAAAATGTCGCTATGCACAGTTGCATTTTCTTTAATATCCACACGGTTGCACGGGGCAATTACGTAATGTTACAAACCCGTGATACAAAATGAGAGATTTTTATCAAAATTTGTAATTTATAAATGCATTTTTTAGTCCTCAATAGGAATGTTCTAATCGAAATCGATTTTTATATTGAATTCCTCAAAATTTAAAGTCATCGCCGATTCCCCCGAGAAATTCAAATTCTACCAAAATCGGGGAATTCCCCCCGATTGGCATCACTAGCTGATATGAAAAAGAATGGGGTGTGTGAAATACAATTTTTTAATTGGTAATGCAAATTTTTGTTTTGAACAATATGGATACATACATATATATTAATATGTTTTTGGAAAGGAAGTAAAAACAACCTAGCTACTGCAACTGAAATATTGCGGGATGGAAATACCTTCCAAATGTTTGCTCGAATATGGATACTGAATTAAAGAGCGGTTTAAGGATAGGTTTTTAATTACGATTAATACCAGGATAAAGGTACTTGATCTTCAAATGATCTCGAACCTGACGTGATGGTGGCTAATAGACCACGGAGAAAACTTTTCAAGAACGCCCTATTTCAGAATTCGGTGCAAAAAGGCCCTATCTCAAATGAAAATATATTGAAAAAATACTGAGATAGGGCGTCTTTGAACCGAATTCCGAAATAGGGCGTTCTTGAAAAGTTTTCTAAAATAAGGCGTTTTGGAACTGACTGCCGAAATAGGTCGAGCTTCCACTCAGGTTTTGATTTCCTGTTAATATTCTTAGATTTGTATGAAAGCAAGTCAATAAAATGTAAGTTTAGTAAATCCACTCTACTTACTAAACTAATTTTATATTTGGCTATTAGTTAAAATGGTATTTTCAAATGGTAGCATTTAGTTTACACAGATGTATGTATAAGTAAAATTTTCGAGGGATTTTTTTATACGTCAGCCCCCCTCCAAAATTTGATCATGGCGATGCCCATGCTTAGCTGTAAGATTTTTTTTTGTTAAAAATAAACGTTTTTTTTTGATAACTCATTCATATCATTTTTAGAAAGGGATATATCTTTTATATACATAAATTTTTTTCATTTAATTTTTAGGACCTTATTTATTAATTTTTTTTTCTTTTTTCATTTAATTTTAAGCTTTTATTGATTTCAAAAGAAATCTATTTTTTAATATCATTTAAATTTTATAAGTGTTTTTATTAATTTTTACGGTTTTGATTCATTTTTTTTCTTTTTTAATTAATTTATTTTTCATTTTAGTTTAAAATTTTTATTGTTTAAAAAGAAAAATATAGTTTTTATTAAATTTCATTTAATTTTTAGAAAACGTATTGCTAAAAAACAAACAAAATAATGCTAGGACTTACTTGTTAGCAGAGGAGGAGGGGAGGAGAGGTGAGTTGAAGTGAGGCATGGTAAGTTGATCTTGAACGTGTAATGTTTCTAGGAATATTGGAATATGTTCCAAATACATACATGTAAGCGAAATCGGCTAGTAAACGTAATTTCTAGGAATATCTGCTGCAAAAAAAGAACCCCTCAATTGTGCAGCGGCAGAATCTTTTATCTTCGTTTTCTAGAATTCCGATTAAAATGGTATTATTTACATTCAATTAACGATTTATAAAAATCCACTGTTGAAAAGTGAAAAAAATTATATTACCATGCAAAATAATCACCGAAGAAAAAAAGCCGTAAACAAAAAATTTAGATCTCTTTCGGGCAACAAAAAAGTATTAATTAATTTTCTCGAAAAAAAATTAACGGTATCGTTGTAAATTGCGTAAAACGTTTGCACCCTTCTTTCCAAGTTGGCGGCGATTCCGCAATTCCCTCAGTCCTGCAAATCTATTTTTAACATCAATTTAACCTACTCAACAACAAGAAAAAGCGCCAGAGTTTTCCTAATTTCATTGTACCACTAGCGAAAAGAAAAAATATTTTTTTCTTGCATGTATCTCACTTTACTTTTTATACCTTTCATGAGCATGAAATGGTATTATAACTTTGGTCCGATGTTTGTAAGTACCAGAACAAAAAGAGATAGACCCATGAAAATGTATACTTATATGATCAGAACGTCGAGCTGAGTTGATTTAGCCATGTCCGTCTGTCCGTCTGTCCGTCTGTCTGTCTGTTTGTATGCAATCTAGTCTCTCAGTTTTCGAGATATCCGGATCAAATTTGGTAGGTGGGTGTATTTTTATAATGTATTAATCATTTGTCGGAACCGGAAGAATCGGACCACTATAACATATAGCTCCCATACAACTGATTGTTCAGATATGA